TCCAACGCATCTGGAGGACTCCAGATTGCCCTAATATCTGAATCTAAGAATTGGTGCCCAAAAGCCCCTTTCCACATTCACTCTGCGTGCTAGTCCACCTTGTGGGAGGATTTATGTACGGCTGTTTCTTCCTCCCGCGGTGGTCTAAAAGGAAGAACATGCCAGGTCTGCAGATGCAGCACAGACCTGAGGAGCATGGATCCCGGAGTACGCCTTCCCATCGTCTGGGTAGCTGAATTCACTGCCACCATCACGCTGCTCCCCCCCCGCCCCAGTTCCTCTCCTGGCCTCTTGCGCCTTTCTGATTGTAAATCTCGGCTCGAGGGGGGAGTGCCACATTATTGATTTCGGTAAGCTGCTCTGGGAACTTTTTGATTGAACAGCATGATTCATTGAATGAATGCTAAAAATAAATAGCCTTTCCACCACTGATTAAAAAGCCGAGAGGCTTTATGTTCTCTAAGAAGTACTAACCCTCCTTGCTATGTAAGGACATTTGTCCTTCCTGTCCCGTTACTGGGTGCACATCCTCTAAACCAGGGGATGGATGAAATTGTTCCGTTCTTCTCTGCATGGGAACATTGTGGAGAACTTCCAAGGTCTATTCTGGATACCTTCATTTGCAGTCAGAAGGGGAAGAAAATCCCCAAAGCACCTCCGTATTTTCTGTTCTCCAAGTCCTGACAGTCTCCAAGGAGCAGGCTATGCCATTTCTCAAGGATCCCATGCAAACGAAGTGGTACTGATCAAAGCAGTCAACATTTTGCATTTTCCCCGCAAAAGCAGAGCTGTGACCCTAGTGGTGGGCAACAGAGAGGCAGTGTGTGGACAGTGACTGATAAAATATGGAATATAACCTCCAGTGATTATATGGTTCAGCTGAGACTGGCAGGACTGTACAGATCTGCAAGCTTAATTTGGAGCTAGCATTGGAAACAGCCATCCCAGCCACTGGGCCCCAGGTCCAGGCTTAGAGGCCCTGCCAGATTTTGGACTGCTCACAAACAGGGAGGCACCTCTTGTCATATCCAAAATGGTTTTTGCCACCAAGCAACCATTGTTCACTTCCCACTCAACATCTTAAAATAAGGGGATAGAGTGCTTGGCTGTAAAGACACTGTTTCAAGATAGGTTTCTGCCTGGGAGCCATTTTTCTCATTTGGGAAGTGATATTGAAAGAAATACTGTGAAGGCCTCAAAGTCATATTATATAGAAAGCTTAGACAGTAATTTTAATACTTTTCAGAACTGGAGCCTACTTTTAATCCAGACGTGTTTTGGGACACACGTTTTACTTCATTTTTGCTATTTAGTGAAAGTGCTGCTGTTACGACCTTTTGATCAGGCTGCAATCGAGTTGCAAGTTAATGACCCATGCTTTAGAAGACCTTGTCTTGTCATTACACATTTACACTTCTGCTGCCTTGAAAGCATATCCACAGCTTGCCCACCTGGAACCTTACCTGGACAGCGCGTACCATTTCTGAGCTTCACTCTCAGATCTCCGAAAGGGCAACTTCTGAAGAGCTTCAGGAGTAGCACTAGGATCTGGTGTGGCTTCAGTGTTGTCCTTTTGAATGGCTTTCCATTTTTCCAGCTCTTGAATGGCTTTCCATTTGAAGTGCAAGGGTGCGGTGTGACGCAGCTCAGCAGTGCCTGGGCCAAGGGGTTCATTGCTTCTCCTTGGCTTTTTTTCCCCTAGGCTATGAAGTCCAACCCACTTCACAGAGCTCAGGTGGCCCTGGTCATTCCCTGATGGTTTTCCTGGTCCCGCCGGGTGCCACTTTGTTGAGCAACCCTGGCAGATTTGGTGCTTTCTTCAGCATTGAATGTGGAATTAATGCAAACCACAGCATTAGGCAAGCAGGTCATTTTCTTGAATTGGAGGGTTATTTACCCCTGGAAATTTCCTAGACCATGTTCATTACAACAGGACAGGTTGGCTTGCAGATATGGCTGTTTAGTAGCTTATCAAGGCTGATATGACCATGCATTCACCCAATCCTCCCCTGGTGAGCCCCCCAGTCCTTGCTATTGTTTCAAGGCTGGCTGATGCGATCTGCCTGTCTCTGCAGCTGGAGAAAACAGAGATAGAGCTACAAGCTGTGACAGGTAAAGGGGACTGTAGCTTAAATCAGTGAGCCTGGAGCATGCTGGGAGATGTAGTTTTTCTTGGTCCAGAATGTGCTGGAGGTACCATGTGAACTCCTGTTCATGTTCTGCTCAGAAGGTGTAGAGAGACAGGCAACAGGGTAATTGTATTACATTGTTAATGAAATGTTATTGTGTGTATACACCATGTTATGTACACACCAAAACTAAAGCAATAAAAAGGTCTCATTTTTAGTCCCCATTTTAAGGAGTAACATACCTATATGTAGCACAATAAACTGAACTTGTAATAAATGTAGGCACCCAAGATCCTTTAAAAATATCTTTCCTTTTTCAGCCCTGTCTTGTTTCAAATTGCCTACTACAGAAAATCCATGTACATCATTAAGGTTTTTATCTTGTGTATACGATAATGGAGAAAGAGAAGGTTGTCCCTACAGTGCAATTTGGTGCATATGTAAACAACAACGAATCTTTCATCTTCCAGCAATCCTCAGCCAACCAAGCTGGTTGGAATTGCACTAGACTGTTTTTCTGTCTAAACATACAAAGGATTACACCTTTAAAGGACCACCACAAACAGTAACTTGTAATGAATGAATGGGGAAGAGAGAGCAAGCAGAGGGGGTTTCTTTTTTAAGTACACTGAGAAGAGAGAGAATAGGTAGTTATCTGATTGTTCAGTTTTTTTTTCTGAAAAAGCTAATTAGGAAACAATGCTCTACACTTAGGAAATCTACCCAGCAGCTAAAAACATTCAGAACAAACCTGCCCGTTGATTCAGAAATAAGGCCCAACCTATTCCATAGAACTTCCTCCTACGTGAGCACCTGCAGGACTGCAGCCACAGACTATAACCCAGTGGCTGGAGGGGACAATATTTCTGATTGCAGACTTCAGGCCTGTGAGATCTCTTCAGCTGTTTGCTGAAGCACTGAGGTCTGCCAGGCAAGTGCAAAATTGTTGGCCACGCACACAATGCTTGTCTGCCTGGACTGCACTGCCCACGGGTGTCAGTCACCTAAACCTTAGGTACCTTCAGCCAATAACCTTCACAGCATAGCAGAGCGAGCAGCTGCTTATTCACTGCCGCTATAGCCCCTCAACCCCCTCCTGGTCCTTTCCTTTTACCCACAGATCAGAAACTTTTCTCATGCTTCTGCACCACACAGAGACGATGTGGAGGGCCACCATCCATCCTCTTTAATGGATGACTGGTATTTGAAAGGCTGCTGGAGGATGGCTTTCTGTCTGAAGGTGTCCTGTTTCTGAAGGGTTATCCAATTCCACTTTAAAGAGCCATCTGGAACTGTGGCCCATCCCGAAGTAGCACCTGAAGAGCATACTAGACAAGCAGAGAAACAGGTGAGCTAGTCAGCCTGCCACCCTGAAGGTTTTTTTCAGCCATCTAGATAAAGTGCCAGGGAAAAGAAAGGGAGCTGAGGCATTGGGGCATCCGTAAGAATCCACATCAGGTCTCAGCCCCAGGCTCTTCCTCTCCCACCCTGCCCATCCTGCTTTCCTCCTCTGACACCCAGTCGCAACCCCATGCAGTGCAAGGCGGCAGCCGGCACAGCTCTTGGCTGCACGGAGAGCATGGCAGGAGCACAGCCTTCAGAGGCCTGGTGCTGAGATCACAGAATTTGGACACCAAGACCCCAAATAATCCAGTGACCTCTGCAGTGCTGTCAGGACAACCGTCTTAGACAACGGTCAACATGCGCCAGCTTATCTTGGTGTTTTCGAACATTCAGAGGAAGCTTGTCTAGTGTTGTCAACACTCCCATTTCAGACTCTTGCTTCAACATACGGCCATCGTTTCTGTCTGTATTATCAAACTGTTACAAGGGTTATTTAGATAATGTACACGAATCACTCTGGACTATGCAATGCAATATAAATGCTGTTATTTATGGGCAGCTGTGATAAAAACACGGCTGAGGAGCATATTCTGTACCTTGAATCACTTTTCAATCCATAAGCAGGTCCGCTGAGAATATAGACCATGGCATGTCAGGCAACAAAACCTGGGGAGGGAGAGGGCAGGGGATGCAACACATCTCTTGTAATGCATAGTTTGGACCTGATGGTAAGCAGAGGTAAGCATAGTTTGGACCTGATTGCTAAGCAGAGACATTCCAAATTAGTAGGAGTCAGGGACAGTCCCAGTTTCATCTTAGTCATTATATTGCATTTATAGCCCAACTTTTCTCCCTCTGGCAAGGAAGCCAAAGCAGCTTACAAGATTCTCCTCCTCTCCATTTTAGCCACCCAACCACAACCCTGCATGCCTCTGCTGGCACAAAGTCACCACTCGGCTTCATGGTTGAGGGGGCTAGAACTCAGACCTCCCGAGTCCTAGTCCAGCACATTCAGCACTAGACCACAGCCAATATTCTCTCATGAGAAGGAAAACTGCAGAGAGCAAGCTTCTGATTTCTGATCTTTGCATGCCATTCTGGGAGCCTTTTGGGAAAAAAAATCAGAGATGCTGAATCTTTTTCAGACTGACGGCCAAATTCCATTTCAGAGACGCTCTCGGGGGCCACATTACAGCGGTGGGTGAAGCCAAAAAACGAAACGAAATGAAACGAAGTACCAGCATATGATAGCTCAAAGCTCTTAACAGTCATGAGCTGAGCCTTTCAACCTTTATGAACAGGGAAGAACTGCAGAAAAGACAGGAACCCAAGCAAAGGCGACTGGTGCTCAGACTAAAGGGGTTCTGCGGAATGCAGGAGGACTGCACTGGGCCCTTTACCTGAGTTTAGAGCTCCTGCCTTAGATAGGGCCAAATGCCAAGGGACAGATCCCACTGATAAACAAGTAATGGTATTTATGGTGATGGAGTTAAGGCTGAAGCAGGCATATCAAACAAAGAGACCCCCTTACAGAAAATACTGTTTAATTCTCTACGTACATCAAATTTCACAATAGCACCAAAAGCTCTTTGTGCTTCACGCAGATGGCCTGTGGCTGCATCAGGCCTGAGTCAAGGGAAAAACGGATTCTCTTTGCTGACTCAACCAAGAAAGGCATATAGACAAGATATCAAAACGTGAAACCACTGAAAGATTCCCCCCTCCCAAAACCACATTTTTATTTTACATTTCTTTTTGTACAAATCAACGTATCTCTTCAAAATTGCTAATGTTACAAACGTAGAAAGAAAAGAAAGTATCACTAGAAATCACCCACTTGAATGCATGATCAAATTGCCACAATTAAGAAAAAAATGCTATTTACAGAAAAATCCTTCTCCTTGACTTAATTTTTTTTTTTTTTTTTGTGGACTGAGGAAGCTAAAAACCATTCCCAATTAAATTTCTGTGAATTAGTTGCTCCTAAAAATGTTTTAAGTATAAAACTAGGTTTCTGCTGTTACACTCCTTCCAGTGCAATGGATTCTTAAGAAGGCTAAAGTTTGTCTGTTTAAAAATAAAAAATAAATAACCCACAGCAATGTATTCCTTTCAATGTTCTTTCTTGTAGGCTTGTAGGTCTTCAAAGTGCTAGTGAGGAAAATTATCCTTAATAATGTGTGTATTATTGAAATATGCATTAAAACTCAGCTGCAGCAAATGTCCCTTGTACCGTGGTGAATCTTGCACCTCAGGTTCCTGTGTAAGATGTACCTGCACAGTGGGGGGCTTCTCCTCAGCCCCTCCTTTCAGAGCTCAAGGGAGTGGCCACGCCAAGGACCTACTCGCAGGCCTTCAGCTGCTGCTGAGTCTTTGCTATTTCCCAAGAGATGCCTTCAGGGTTCACAGAGTTCATCTCCTCTCACCTCTTCACTAATTAGGACAGGGGTTAGAGTCTTTGCTGACCTTATGGGGCACTCCAGGCAGTCTCCTTTTCCTGGGAATCCCCCATCATTTCAGGGAAACAACCACCCTTCTTTCCCAGCTTACCTAGAATACCTTTGCAGTGTTGCCAAGCTAACCAAAAATATGATACCTATGCTCTGCCCAGCTCCCTAGAAACTCCGCATAGCTGTGTCTGGCTACTACTGAATGACCCCCGTATTCCTTGTGAGTGTCCTCACCCTACCTCTGCATCTCAGTAGAAAACAACCTTCTCTCAGCAACGGCACTCCCCAAACAGAATGAAAGAACAGAAAAATCAGCCGACAGATCTTGCTATGTTGAATCCCCCCCACATCCCATTCTCAAAACAATAAAAAGCAATGCCATATAAGTTAGCACAATACAAACACTGGATAAGTAAAAACCTAATTAGTGAAACCTTCCCTCCAAATTAATGTCTCCCGTTATTTTACCAAGAGACCTTTAAACCTCTAGATTTCTGACAGGCAATTGATGATTTCAATCCTGCTGCCAGTTCTGCAAACTAAAATATTCAAGCAATGGTCTCGAGGTGTTCTGAATACCAACGCAACATGTAAGCACCCTCGAAAGAATCAGTATTTCCTTTTAGAAAGCTAGATGAAATTTGGCTCCCATCACCATATGCCTCCTTAAAGAGAAAGCAACAGAGGTCTGTGGAGATTGATTCTACTCCCTTTCTCCTCACCATCTCGACTGGCAGTGATAATAGAAATGAATGAGAAAAACCCCCCTCTACATCAAAAGTGTTTTGATCATGGGCTCAGAAGGATGGGGGTAGTAAAAGGCAGGCCCCCCCAGCCATTCTTATTGTGTTATGACAGGAGAATTAAACCCAACACTCAAGCATGCTATTGAATGGTCACACACAGAGGCTTCCATAGCAATAACAATCAAAGTGAGGTTCTGGAAAGGAACCAAGGGGTTTGCAGCTGAAAGAATCCTTAGTGTGGGAAGAGTTCCCACTGTGTTTACGGGGAAGTTATAGCTCCTAACTTCTCGGGTTTTTTGCCCTTGGATAAAGCTGCAGCTTGTTTCAGGAGCTCTCTGTTCTTGGCCTGTTGGAGGCAAGAAATAGACGAGAAAAATGAGCATTACATCTGCTGGACCATAGCCTGCTAGCAACTACACAGAATCCTGGTTTGCAAAAGAAATATAAACAAGAAAGGCAGGGGACACAAGCAAAGCCATAGAACAGATTCTGCACTGAGAAACACTTGGTTCTGTGGCCTGCATATTTTATGCAAATTAATCCTGCAATTTTTATTCTGCTTAATTTATTCCTATTTTGCTGGTGCACACTGGGAAAGCACTGAAGTCCTGCTCCTGACTGTTGCAGATCTTACCTGGACACCCTCCTGCCTCCTGAGATTTCCAAAAGACATTCATTGCCCACATGCTTTGAAGCTTGCTTTTGCAGCCAATCAATGAAATGGAAATGATCAGGAAGCTGAGTTCTGTGTGTGGCAAGACATGTTGCAGGCTTTCTGCACTCCACAGAAGAATGACACACACAGCCATAGATATACCCAAAGGACTGCATGCAGTTGTACGGTTTTGTCAGCAGGCGGAAACTGCTAGTGTAATGGGGTTCTCTCTCTCCCTCGCACCTTTCCACACATCCCCCAAATTTGCAGGGTTGGAGGACCCTCAGGAGCAGAGCTGGGGCATGGTCAGGAGACTGCAAGGGGGAGCCCCACCCCGCAGTGGGTTTCCAATCCAATATAACGCAACTAGCACAGCACATGCTCGGCCTGCAAAAGGTCTACTCAGTTTGAAATCCTGAGGACCAATGCTGTTTCTTATTTCATTTCTATACTGCCCAGTAGCCAATGCTCTCTGGAAGGTTCACAGCAATTCATAAAATTACAAAACCCAAATGCAGGTAATAATATAATGCAAACAATTTCAGTACACAAGATTCAAAATATTTTAAACACCAAATCATGATTTCGGTAGAAACGTAGACATGATAAAAACACAGCTGACAGGAGTGGCTCCATTAAACAGCCCACCCAGTGCCCAAAAGAATGATCTTTTGGGGGGATCATTCCACCATTTGGGGGCAACCACTAAGAACGTCCTCTCCCTTGGTGCCCACCTCCAAGCCTCCCTTGGAGGTGGCATTCTGAGGAAGACCTTGTGGTGTCTGGGTAGATTCAGGCTGCGAAGCTGTTCTATGAGGTCGACAGGGCAGCTTTCTATGCTTTTAAGTCTGGCGTTACAGCTCCATCAGAGAGCAATCTATAAGAGGTTTCAGAAATATGTGAACACCCTGCTATCTACTACGCTCTTGTGGGCTTCACAGAAAAGTTCAAAGCAGGGTGACTGTTTTGTGAGCTGAATCGAATAGGTGAGTTAAATGGGACTTACATGTGCAAAGGGCTGCAACCTGAAGACTCATCTGCACAGATGATTGTGCCTGGTCAGGAGACCAGCATGGGCTAAATGGGAATGGGGTGTGTGTGTGTGTTGGCATAAGGTTTGAAGACAGGAGATACACTGAAAAAGGCATTAGAAAAAGTGCTGAGAGCAGCTGTGTTGTAACTGGAGGAAAGCAGCTTGCTGGAACCTGCAGTGAAGATAAGGCCATACCAAAAACACAAACAGCAAATTTCGCGATTCAGTCACTGCAGGCCTGGACTGGATTTGTACCAAGCGAATGGCATGTTGTAATTAAATATGTAAAAATAGCAGCCATCAGGAGTCACTGCAGACAATACTGGACTGGATAGACCGCAGGCCCAACTTGGTATAAGGCAGATGGTTCTGATCCTGTGACCAACTGTCTGATTTAGTAGAAGGCAGCTTCCTATCAGAGGGATAATCATAGAATCGTAGCGTTGGAAGAAGCCAAGGTGACCATCGGGTCCAACCCCCTGCTGCTGCAGGACACCAATTTACACCATCCCACTCAGATGGTTGTCCAGTTGCTTCTTGAATGTCTTCAGTGTGGGAGAGCCCACCCCCTCTCCAGGTAGCCGGTTCCACTGTCCTATCACTCTGAGAGTGAGGAAACTTAGCCTGAATCTGGATAGTCACAACTTCAGTTGATTATTTCCTGTCCTACACTCTGGTATCAGCAAGAAGAGATCTTGACCTTCCTCTCTGTGACATCCGTTGACGTACTTATAGCGTGATAGCATGTCCCCCTCTCAGTTTTCTCAAGGTTGAACATGCCCAGTTCTCTCAGTCTCTCCCCACAGGGAGTTTTTCCAAACCCTGGATCTTTTTTGTTGCCCTCCTCTGGACCGCTTCTCATTTTTCTGCATTTTCTTAAACCTTGGGGCTCAGAACTGGACAGTCTTCCAGATGACATCTGACTGGTTAAGAGCATAGGGGAACTATTATTTCTCATGATTTGGAAGTAATACTTCTATTAATGCACCCCAAAACAGCATTTGCCCTGTTTGCGGTTGCATCACATTGTTCGATCATATTAGCCTGTTGTCCACAGTAACACTCTGGTCTTTTTCCTTTTCAGTTCTGTTGGGATGAATCTGCCTAACAATTTTTCTATCTAGTCCACTTTTTGCTAATTTGCTTATCAGAAAGGTGTAGGGCACTATGTCAAAAACTTTGCTAAAGTCAAGATAGATTATGTCCACAGTGTTCCTTCTGTACATGTGGGAGGTTACCCAGTCAAAAAATTAGTCTGACAGGTTTTATTTCTGATAAATCCATGCTGGCTTTTATTAATCACTCCATTTTCTTTGAGATGCTTACAGACTGGTTCTTCAAATATTTGCTCCAGAATTTTTCCAGGGATTGATGTCAGACTAACTGGTCTGTATTTTCCAGGTTCATTTCCCCCCGTTTTTGAAGATGGGGACAATGTTGGCCCTTCTCCAGTCATCTGGCACGTCTCCTGTTTTCCAGAATTTATTGAAGATAATAGACAGTGGTTCTTAGAGTTCCTCTGCTACCTCTTTTATGACTCTGGGATGGAGTTCATCGGGCCCTGGAGATTTGAATGTGTTTATTCCATCCAGGTATTCCTTGGCCCTTTGCGATAATATTACTATGTACCACAGTACAAATGCTTATTGAACTGGCCCAATACACACAGTGTTCAGTCACTCTTGCGAATAACTCATTGACAGATTTAGTTAAATAAAATTACCTGCAGTTGTTCTGTAACTTCCTTGTGAGTCTTTTCCATTTGGTTCATTTTAACCCTCATCTGGGATTCTTGGTACTGTAGATCAGCTTTCAGTTCAGTTATCTGCAAAACGGAAGAAAATACAGCCGTTTACATTCAATTGCACTGAATGTGCGTCACACAATGGGATACATCCTTTTAGAAATCCAGGCTTTTAGCTTTCACAGCACCCGGTTGGGAAAGGCTGCTCTAGCTTGACAAAGAGTTCTGCGCAGCTCGAAAGCCTTTTGTTTTCTTGGCCTTGTTGCTGAAGCATGAGATCGATATTTAAGAAGCAGTGAACAAACAATACTGGTACCAAGGCAGGGTGAAATAGCAGTATGGTGGTAAATTCTCAGTATCTCCCCAGAGCAGCAGAGGTGATAGAGTGGGAGGAAATGGTAAGCAAATGCGGGCAGAGAGAGCAAATGCTGGAGAAATTATCCAGAATTGTGGAAGGGCCAATCTAGAATAAAAGCGACACTGTGCCTCGAACCTTGCTTTATTGCTCACATGTATGTGTAATTTCTGTTACAAATATATTTTCTCACTGTAAAAAAAAAAAAAAAAAATAGAGAGCCAGTGCGGTGTAGTGGTTAAAAGCATGGGACTGGGACTCAGGCGACCCGGGTTCGAGTCCCCGCTCAGCCATGGAGCCGACTGGGTGGCTTGGGGCCAGTCACAGACTCTCAGCCCAACCCACCTCACAGGGTGGTTGTTGTGGGGATAAGCTGGAGGAGGAGAATGATGTAAGCTGCCTTGAGCCCTTTGTAGGGAAAAGGCAGGATATAAACCAAAAAAAAAAAAAAAGGTAGGAGGAAAAGACAAAGTGCAATAATGAAGAAAACTAAAAGATGAGGTCAAATGATAAAGGAAGTAAGAATGAGAGAAGCAAAGATCTTAAACAGGCCTTCGCCAGGGGCAAAATGAATGAGTGCACCGGATGGTATTTTACCCTTTAAAAAGATGTTTCTAGGGGTCCACTAGACAGTGAGCATTCTTCCCCTTCTGGTGAGCAGGAAGCTGTGTGCAACAGAAATACTCCTCACTGCCTCACATTTCAACACGTGAAGTTGAGCACATGGGCTCATTCCCATTGGTTTCAGAGATGCCATAAACTGTACAATGTCTGAGACAAGACCCTGGTCCACCCGTTTGGTCACCCGCCAAACACTGCCTGACAATTTCAATACATGGATGCCTGTTAAACATCTCCGGAACAGCTGGGTCCATCATCTCACAAAGGAAACATTACCTTCTTCTCTTTCTCCAGGATCATCTGATCCTTCTGGTGCAACATTTTCTTGAGAGTAGCCACTTCCTCCTTCAGTTGGGCAATGATGACAAAGTGGTCAGTGCCAGGAGAGTCCAAGGCAAGGTCTGGAGAAAAACTGCAAGACAGAAAGAGGGGCTGCTTCATACATCACTGGGTTCCAGTTCACAAGGGATGTAAGCCGTAAACATGAGAGGTCAGTCCCACAGGCTAACGGGCCTGCAGAGCAGCCTGTGGCCAGCCACCAATAATGCATTCATTCGGATGCACTTCCTTTAGAAGATTTTTAAACCTCCCTTTATCCAGTGATCTTAAGGCAGCCACAACACCTAAAATAATAGTGCACACCACATACATGACACATACTGAAACGAACACCATATTAAATTGCTGCTTGACACATTTCTTCCCTTTATATAGCAACCATTTCATTGAATAATTTTACTCCTATTGCCCTTACAAAACTCTGCCCGATCCTTAATCTATGTGCATTCCTGCAACAAAAATTCACACTCAGTGATGAGAACAGCTGCTCAAACTTTGACAATGCTGTCCTACACACTTACGTAAGCATAAGTAACTATTGAACACAATAGAAAACTTAATATGAAGTAAAATGGTATAGATCATGCTGTGTGCATTTAAAATGTTTTGAGAGAGTGAAAATGCATTTCATTCTTTAGCATAAATAAACAAATACTCAACTCTTCTAAACATCTCATCTATCTCAGCTAAATAGAGTATTTATCAAGTATTTACATCTAAAGATTTCAAAATGGTAACACACAAAAGTAAATAGCAATATATGGAATATTTCTTATCTATATGTAGTATAGTCCCTCTGCTATAAGACGTAAGAACAGCTTGCATAAACAGATGGGTCTTCAACACCCACCTAAAAAATGAAATGTTGGTGCATGTCCATCATCAGATGAAAAATTACTCCACATAGTTGGTGCCGCTACCCTAAATGCCCTGCTCCAAATGGCTCCAGAGCATACCTCAGAAGCATCACCAGATGACCTGAAGGACTGACTGGCTTCACAGGGGAAAAGGCAGTCTCCCAGATAACCAGGCCTCAAGTTGTTTAAAGCTTTACATTCCAACCAAGCCACAAATCTGGCCCAGCAGTGCAGCTCCTTCTGCAAAGAGTCAACATGCTGCCCATAGCTGGTCCTGCTCGGCAACCTGGAGGACGCATCCTCACTAGCTGCAACTAGGAACACGAAGAGGGACGCCCACCGGGTGGCTTGCAGACCACAAAATACCTTTATATGTCCTTACTGGGCTTCAATCAAGATGCAGCACATTTTGAGTGCTGTTTCATTAGTAAAGTGGAACAATAGTAGATTTCCATGAGTATTTGCAGCAGCACTCCTTCCACTTGGAGAAACATACCAGCTGCATCCAGAACAAGCTGCATAGTGAATGTTCCCAGTGAGGATGTGATCCATGTGTCAGAACACATGGACCCATGCGTATGGGTCGCAAGATCCCAACAAGACAGTGGCTTGTTCTGATCGTGCCGATCGTACATGTGGCATGTTGTATCAGGCTGATGGAACCCGGCACATGCCCCTGTTTTAAACAAGCTTATTTCAAACAGTGGCATTTGCTGGGTGCCATTAGGTTAATTACCTGCCCAGGTGTAGCTTGATGTTTTCTCTGAACACAGGAAGTGTGGTCTGTTTGAGGGGGAAACAACTCTGAAATAACCCGGAGTTTTTATGAATAACCCATGTTTGGATTGACAACCAATGTAATGCAGTGGTTAAGTGTGCAAGAGTGAGATTCAGGCGATCTGGGTTCTAGTCGCCCCTTGGTCATGGAACCAACTGGATGACTTCAGGCCAGTCACAGACTCTCAGCCCAACCTACCTCATAGGGTTGTTGTTGTGGGGATTGAGAGCAGGAGGAAAATAATGTAAGCTGTTTTGAGTTCACCATAAGAAAAAAAGCAGGATATAAATCCTATAAATAGATAAACAAACAAACCCTAAAGAAGCCATAGATATTTTAATGATTGTTTCCCCCAAGCAAGTCATGCCACCCAGGATGAAGCACCATGGCAGGCATGCCCAGGCGGGTAACCAATGACTCTGATCCTGCAAACCAGGTCACTCTCTCATACACACTTTGGAAAGGCAAAGATAGTTGCCATCCCTGATGCAGATCTATCAGAAGTCACAGGGAGACTGCAGAAGAAAGCAGAGACAGCAGGCTAGTTCATACAATGACCTGGCAGGCAACAAACCACAGAGGCTTTCTGGCTACACGGTACAAACCAGCACATCCTGACCAATCTTCTTGATCACCCTTGCCGGCACAGTTTCCTGTGTCATCCAAACCTGGTGGGCTGCCACCATAGTTCAACCCCAGCACCCTAAAACAGTCTTTGTTTGGATTAAGAGCAAGTTGGTCATACTTCTTCCCAATGAAGAGTGATATGGGAAAAAATAGTCATCGATAACTTCAGTCCCATTAATTTCAGAACTATGTGCGACTAAATAGGCCTAGATTCAGTAAGAAGAGCAGAGAGAACCCCTATATTTATGCAAAAGTTTTTCTTGGAGAAAGCTGTGTGTCAACTCTGATTACAGCATGCTCACTTCTGAAGAGTAAGCTGGGATAGAACAGAAAAAGTAGTAGTATGAGAAACAGGTAAATCCCACATTTTCAGAAACTATGCAGGTTTATCTACTTGGTGGTTTTTTGCCCAAGTATCAATTCTGAGCAAGTTTAGCCCCTTCTGGGTTAGAGGCCATACCTGCGATCACACACGATTTGGGCTGTATGAAGGTACAGGGAGGCCATTCCCCCAGTGACCAAGCTGGTTGCCTGCCTGCCATTTCTCACATACAGCCCCGCCAACCCAAGTGCTTCCCCCAAGCTACTACAGACATAAGTGAAGCTGAAGCTGCTCTTGAGCAATGGAATCTGGCTGAACAGGCCAAGGATCACTTCCCATCTACTAATGTAATCTTGCTCACTGCCAGATAATGTTCAACCCAGAGTTTCCAGAGACACAGATCAAGCAATCAGTTGGGACTTCCCTGGACATTTCCTTCCCTTCCCTCTGCTGCAGTCTCTTGCCTGCAGCAGGTTGCCTAATCCTGCTGTGGGTTTCCACTCCCCTATGGCTGTGCAATCGTGACCACTCCTCAGCTTGTGGAGAAAGGCAGTGCTGAAGGCAGTCCGTTAGCAATATTTATATTTTAGAGCAGGCAGCAAAACCAAGAGGGACCTGTAACAAAATATTGCAGGCTAGAGTCCTCCTGTGCAGGACTTCTGTCCCTCTGCTTCCTTTCCCCCGTTTTGTCCCCCACCAACAATCAGTAAGCAATCCATGACTGCTACTTCCCCTTCCCTGTTGTAGAATGATGGTACTTCTGTAAACCTTGGGACTTTTGCAGCCATCTCCCCTCAAGGATGGATTGTGATGCCTAAAGACTGGAAGAAACAAGGCTATTGAGCTCCTGGTAACCACCACTGGTTTGGTAGGTCTGCTGTAAATAGCCACTAGGGCTCTAGTCCTCAGTAAGGAGATTCGCCTGAGTCTGGGCTACCACAGTTCATGCTGCAGGGGAGCAGGTGCTGCTTGACTGAATGTCCCTTTGTACAAGACAGTTCCCTGTGCAGAGAAAACTAGGATGTCAAGGAGAAGGCTACGCTACAAAACCGAGATGTTTTTGTTAGCATCTAATTTACTGTGCGGAAGGAATCTGTCTGTACAGAGTAGCATTCAGTCGCAAAGTGTGATATACCAGACATACGCTAATCACCACAATGAGAATTACAGTACATGGTTGAACAGTTTTATGACAGTCGCCAACTGTTAATTCATCTGTCTGCAGCACTGAATTTTCAGCTTGTGCACACTCCCTTGCATGGGAGTAAAGCTACACAGCATCTGCCATGCATACAAAGTGAAGGATCTTTGCTGACTATTCTATCAAGTCGTGGATAACATCAAAACTTTCCTTTGGGCAGGCTCTGCCAGGTTTCTTGCTGTATATGCCTGCCAGAATATGGGCCGATTATTTCTGTAGCACAGCTCTGCAGACCCAACTCAAAGACAGTTCTGGTCAGCTTACTCAAGAATCAACATTCTTACAGAACACATGGACCTGGAATTTCTTTGTGTTGGTCTGTGCCTGCCCTCCAGTGGCACTGAGCAGAAATTACAAGACTGTGCTATTCAGAGGACATCAATTCTAGAGAGCCCTTCAGCAATTGCATGCACATGTACGTGCATGTTCCAGTCCAGTAAAATTAGATGGTGCACAACTTACACGTCGGTGGAGCAAAAGAATGTAATAGTGCAATAGCCATAAAATGAGATGGACACAAATTGGGCTGTATCAACGTTGTTTGTGGAAGTGGATTTCTCTGCTTCCTCCTTCCCACGGCAGCCCCTCCGCCCCCCCGAAAACGCTAAGCAGCTCAACAGAGCCTGCTGAATGGAGGGGACTATGCTGTAGCAAGGAAGGAGATGCCCAGAAACTGGGCAGAGGCCTTTCCTCTCAAAGAAGGCAGATCCTGGAGCCTGGCCGTATTCAGCAAGAAAAATAAAGTGAAACACACTCACAGGAATGAGATATTATCCTTCCTGCTTTAAGGACTCTCCCCCACCCCGCCTTTTTCTTCCTAGACCTCGATACAGAACTAGTGAGGCAGCATCACATCCCCAACTGACAATGGGAAGGAAGATCTTGCTGGACGTGTGTTGGGAGGGGAGTTATTTACGGGGCAAAAGACTCTCAGCCCTGCTTTCTACTTTTCAAGGAACCGGGGGCTGCAAAGAAATAGAGGAAGACTCACCCAGAACGGTGGCACAGTATATACAATAACATCTATAACCAGTTAATAAACGGCACAGCTGTTGGATGGAAAGACTAGAGAAGATGAGAGGTACTGCTCAGAAAGTGAGAGAGAGAGCAAGCAGTCCTGTGGATGCTGGGGGAGAGGAGCATCGGTACTACAGAAAAGCTTTCTTTCTTTGAACTTTGCTTCAGAAAAGTGAACCCAGTTCTCCCCGCAGCATCTCCAGTTAGAAGAGCTGGTGATGCAATAGCCCCCTGCCTGCGACGCTGGAGACCTGCTGCCAGCCAGAGCAGCAATATTGGGCTAGATGGATCACCAGCCTGACCTGGCAGCACAGACGCCTATATTCTAAAACCTTTCAAGGATATGCAGTGGCTGCACATGTCCTTTCCTTAAATCTAGGCTTGCATTCGTCTGCAGAGGTGTTAGAATGCAACTTCCATTGCTGGATTGCAGCTCCCATGAGGCATGTTCATGGAAGAGAAAGCTATCAAAGACTAGCGGTCCTGCCTGCAGTATCCGAGGTAGTATAGCGACGACGACGACTAGCTACACAAGCTGTTGGGAAACATGGGCAGGATCCAGCCCTGCTGGTGGGTTCCCCATGGGCAGCCGTTAGCCACACTGTGAACAAAATGTTGGCTGAGAGGGATTCTAAGTCTGAGCCAGGAGGGTTATGCCCTTCTCTGGAGGGCACCAGGTTGAAAGAGGCTGATGGAGGACAGAGTGAAGGCAACTGGGAGAGACTGCTGGGCCCTGGTTTCATTTCACCTTGTAGAGTGTGGCCCAAAAGCTCATGCTACCCTAAACCCTGTGCCAAGATGCTTTGCAACCCAATTGGATAAATCTGTAATATTGGAGCCTGGCCAAGGGGAAAGAGAAATGCTGCTCTCAGCACCTCTTGTCCTCACAGCACTGGGTCTGGCTGGGACCGACCGGGCCTTGAGCCTCCAACTGAACACTGGGGGTCGCACTACAGTCAAGCTCTCGGCTCTGAGCTTGTACTGGCCGCCCTGAGGGCCAAGTAAGCTGTGTGCACACCCAGTGTTCCGACCTGGCAGGCAAAGGGCAGCCTGGGGTGAGCCTGAGCTGGTGAAGGAACATGGGGGTGGGAAGGAAACGCCAGGCTTTCTCTGCCACCGTCCCAGCAAAGCATCCTCTCCAACCACCAGCCTGGTTGGTAAGTGATGGAGCCGTCACAAATACCAGCTCTGGGGAGGACGTTGGGTAGGGCTGCGGGAGAGGAACAGAAACCATTTCTCCCCAAAGGTTGAGGCTGTTCAAGCTTCCTCACAGCTGCTCTTCACACAGCAAGTGAAGTGAGCACTAATTGTTTGTTTGGCCCTGTCGGAGAAAGCTCTTCAAGTGGTCAGACTGAATGCATTGCCAAGTAATCCTTCCAAAAGTCCCATGCAGTAGCCGCGTGTTTATAAACATTGACTGTGTGTGTGTGGGGGGGGCGGGGGCGGCTGAGGAAACACCTGCTCTTTGCAACCGGGGAATTCACATGGCTGCACCGGCAAGCTCTATTTAAGAATCATTTAAGAATCAAGATGTCTCAAAAGCTCGTGCACCGCACTGGATACTTGACATGCCCATCCTCGGTGACTGGGAGCATGTCTGGCCCAGGACAGCTTTGTCAAGGTGGCTTATGTTTGTCCTATAAGCCATCCCAACCACGCACGGCTTGTGACTGGGATCGTTCCTTCCTGTGGATTCTCATGCCGCCTAAACCTGGATGACATGATCCATCATGAGTTAACCCCTTGTACAAGCAAGACACTTGGCAGGAGTGGGGGAAAAACCTCTTGCCAAGCAACCAGTGGACAACTGCAATTGTCACCTGTCCAGAAGTGCCCAAATGACACTGAGGGGCAGCGGGCAGAAACTCCCCTAACCTCCTTTCCACCAAGAGCCCTTTTGGACTCACTGTGGCTTTTCTGTCACTTCAACCTCCCCCCTCTCCAAGACCACAAAACCCAGCTATCACCCTTTGCCGTCTGCAAGAGGTCCTTCCAAGGTGCCTCAAGGAATCGCTTGAGTCGGCCTGCCCGTGCTTGCCAACTATTTAACAGTTTTGCCTTCTGAACTTTTGCAAATAAATCAAAATTGTTTGATTTCTCTTGCAATGTTTGTACAACTGCAGACAGCTACAGTTACACAGGAACCCCAAGTGGCAAATGGGCAGAGGAACTGCCTGCCAGCAAAGTCCAGCAGGTGCCCACCCTGTCCAGCGCACCCCTAGGGTGCGGGTAAACTCCTGTTGGCAAGCATTTCACAGCTGTGAAACTCCAACTTGCCAAGTATTTCCAACACCCCTATCAGAATTGCTAGTAAAATGTCTTTTGGGCCAGGACAATACATGGGTATATGCACACTATATAACTGCACACCATCCTGTGCTAAAAGATATTTTAACCCTTTAGGAATTCCATCTGGTTAACAGAGGACTCCAGCTTGACAGATCAGTAGATCTGCGTGCATCTCAGAGGGACTCACAAAACAGAAGGGACACCAGAGGCACATGATCCCGCCTGCAAAGTACTGAGGAGACTGCTGAGAAGGGGTAAACAAGGACCCGCTTCACAAGCGCAAACCACTCCAGGCTTTGCAAGGATTTGACAAATCAACCTGTAAGAGCTGTCGAATGCTTGCAAGTAACAGGGAGGGCACCTGCTGGGCCTGGTCAGAACCACCCTCCTTACCTATGCCAGCTTGCCCAGGGGTGCTTTTGCATAACTGCATTCACCCACAATAATGCAAGGGAGAAAAGATTTTTTTATTTGTATATAGTGGTTTTTGTAAATATTTGTGAAAGTTAGGGACCTGTTTTGTTTTATTTTTTAAGTTGGCAACCACAGGTGACCCTTCCTAGGTACTGCTGGAGCACCTTGGAGAGGACTGCTCTTTGCTGCGAAAAGCGGCATTGTGAAATCTGGCTTGAGAGCTGCCTTTTGTGGTCTGAGGAAACGGAAATGAGAAAAAAGCTCCGGCGAGCCTGGAAAGGCAAGCGGCAGTGGCTGGCAGCAGGGAGCCGAGGTCGATCTGCCCAAAGAGTCTGAACAGAATATGGCTTATCCTGCCACGTGAGCCTACCCATCCTCGCTATCTCAGCTCTATGCAAACAGAAAGGAGCCCTCGGACAGACACAACAACTCCCAGCCGCATGCAAGGATGTGTTCTCAGAAGTACGAGCCAGCCTGAAATCAATCAAGGAGGGTAAAATATAACATACTTGGGAGCATTTTCTTTTGGTTTGGAGCATGGGCCCAGTATTTGTGCAGTGAGTGAGAGGTGGGCGGCACCTTAGGAGGAATGGCAAGGAAGAATCCTAGAGCCGGGATACCGGTGCTCCACACCGAGTGTTATGTTTGGGTCTTGCAATTTTAGAGGAGTAGGAGATTGGTTATCTAGACTGAATTATTCACCAGCATCATAGCTACGGGAAAACAGATCAAAAGCCCACTTGGTAACGTTTTGCAAAATAGCTGGTTGGCTGGCAGACAATCTGTCCCAACAGAAAGTGTTCTAGAATTTCCTGTGTTAAGTTTATGATCAGCTGTCTTGAAGGTGGAGAGAGCCAGGAGACAAAGTGTTTCAGTAAAGCAAGAACAAGGAGACATAGTGAAGTGCCCTGGGAGTACTACCTTTCTGATGCATTTACGGCACCTGCCCAAGCTGGGCTCCTAGCTAAGTTGTGAGCAACTGGGAAGGAGAGAGGACAGGAGAAAGTTGAAGGAAGGCCAGGCTCCGTCACACCCCTTGTTCTTTGCAGTACTGCAGCTATTGACAGAAAACCAAAGGGACCATCAATCCATCTAGCTCAGAGCTGACTGGCAGCAGTTCTCCAAAGTTCTGGACTGGACTCTTTCCTCCAGCCCTACTTGACGAGGCCAGAGTTTGAACCTGGGAGCTTCTGCATACAGAGCAGGTGCCCCGCCATGCTGCTAAGGCATGTCCCGAGTCTGTCAAAAGATACAGCTCAGCTCATTGTGAAGTAGCCAAGCTGCCCATTCTCCTGCCACAACATTCTCCTGGCAACACCAGACCATGAAGTTGGAAAGGCAGGAGGGAGAACGGAAGAATGAGAATCGAAAGTTTAGCTTTGCATATATAGCCTTTAGTGCTGATGTACCAGTAGCAGGGAGACAAAATGTTTGACCCATTCCAGTGTGGAAAACAATTAGGTAAGGACTATCAGTATTTCTATACATGGCACCTTGTAAAATTGTTAAAATATTAAAAAGATCCAACATTCTATTTCCTGCAACAGAAACACCTATCCAGTTGGCTTTGAGTGTTCACAACATGAAAAACTGGTCTTGCCTTCTAGTTTGACCCTCAGCACATGGCATTAGAGGCACACCTGGAACCTGCAGCAAGATGTGGCAATTTGGTTCCAGCCAGCCAGCCAGCCAGCCAACTATACCCTTTTCTAAGATCTATCCTACTACTTTGCATTATTTTTGCTGCCAGGTGAAAAGCTTTTGATTTGAAAGTTTGTTGCCAGCATTAACAGTTTGAATTTTTAACTCTGATTTTATCCTTAACCACTGCTATGCTTCTATGCTGACTCAGTTCCAATTGCTGAGATCTTGTTGTTTCATGTTAATTTTTGTTCCTTGTGTGTTTTCAGAGTTGCTTGTATACTGCCTTGGCTACTGGGCAGTGCAATAAATAAGTAAAGAAATAAATATTCCCTTCCTTCCTTGTTTCTGGGTTCCCCATTCCCCAACAGGAGACACTCAATCCTCATTAAGGTGTTTCAGAGATCCTGCCCTCCGCCCCCATGTTTTTTCCCCTTAACATTCATTTGTACTTTGTAAACCTTGGTCTTCCTGTGAGCCTGCTGGTGCCTCCCTCTTATACAGCGATGATGCCATTTTAGCAACATAAAAGTCTGCACTCAAAGAAGGACTTCACTATTTGCAAACAGGATAGTAAGGTCTCTTCACATCCGTGAAGAAGTGACAGAGCTGTTAACACAGAAGTTAAACCAGAATGTCAAGCAAATGATTACCAATTAAGACACACTTAGCAGCTCCAGCCTATAATCTGGCCCATGCTCCAGCCCAACGAGCATTAGGAGATAATCCATCAGCGTGGATTGCTTCCACAAATGAGACAATTCCCAGGGTTGGGAAGGAAACAGGGGAGAAAATGATAGGTGGTCTCACTTCAGGATGTCAGTGCCTTGAGAAACAGGACAATCATGGGCACCGAGACTCTGTTGGGACGCAGCCCACTGCACCAACACGGACGGGGCACTCTGGATAGGGGGGCAAAGCATCTCGGGAGAGGAAGGAACGCTGAGAATTAGAGAGGAAAGGGAGGAATGAAAATATGCACATCAAGCGTGTCAGTTCTAACTACTTCCCCCTCATTCTTTCCTGATAAGCACCAGGGAACCCTATCCCGTCACTTCACTCACTGTTGCTTTTCAGTTTGCACACAGCTATTGCAGAACACACACTTCAGAGTTAGCTGTGACCTTCCTTTTCTCAGAACAGAGGAGGAAAAGTCAGAGGGGGGATTTGTTTGCATTCTCACTTGAAAATAGTTCTTTTTCAAACCTTAGATATGCTTCTATTCTGGGCTGCCTGAATTAAGACCATGGTCTGGTATACTGAAACTGTATGGTATACCCACAGGAAAAAAAGAATATCATCTGTCAAAAATGTTCCCCATAAAAAGATGGATCTATAAAAGCCTGGCAGTTCTAGAAAAATAACTTTCCTTTTTGCCTCTAGGAACTGAGACTTGCACTAAAATGCTGATGTTATTAAGTAAAGACCATTGAGACCTCCCACCTTCACCTCCAAAATTTAGCAGGCTCACCTGTCCCCATTGGCTGATATGGCATCAAACTTGGGCTTTTTCTTTGGAATTTCATTCTGAATAGAAGATGTAGATAATGTTTTCTGGCTGCAAAAAAGAACAAGAAACAAAGACATTGATACAAGGTTGAAAGTTTGGTGTTACGAAACTTGTCATCTTGTCTGCAGTAACTGTCAACAGTAAACAGCAGCTGCCTGTATCAGTCTAATTTAGAACTCAACAGGCTGTTGAAGAGGGCCTATGTAGTCAATCTGGCCATTTGGGCATAAAGACCAATCCCATTTTCTGCAGCAGGTGGACTTACACTTCCTTACCCTCTCTTATACATTACACGAGTACAAACAAAACAAAACAAAACAAAAACAGTGGGAGCAGAGTCCATAACAGTGAGACAAAATTACCTGTTGTAATGGCTGCTGCTGCTAAGCCGCCCGTACTGTTCCTTCTCTGGCAGGCTTGTCCGAGAAGAGGTGCTCAGGTGTTTGTGCTGTTCTTTGGTCTTCTGTAACACTCTTTTATAAGATAGTGTGCAAAGCCAACAGAGTAGCTTCCCGTCCACCTGAGAGATCAGGGAAGAAAGTCCACGGGAGAGAGAGGATATTATAATCAATTTTCTACCAAAGCAAAAAGAGAAAGTGCATAAACAATCTAGAATCTAAAAATTAAGGATGCTCGAGGACTTATTTTGGTCCATATTTTAAGCAAATCAACCTAATACATGTTACTTAGACTAACATGCAACTAAACTAACATGCAAGTTATCCTTCAGGCACCATGCTTTATAGAATTTTGCAATGTAGTTTTTGGATCAAGATTTTGCACAAAAATCCATATTTTAGGGAGAAATGTGTATAGGAATAAATTAGTTTAATATATTTCTGTTAGACTGATGCAAAAATGGGATAAAATTTACCTACATGAAAAATGACAGACAAGAAACAGACTGGCCCACCCATTCCTACAAAAACAATTCTTCTGAAACAAGAGTGAATTTTAAAATAAGACGTCCTCTAGTATTTAAGCAAAGTATAGCAACAACATGAACAACCAGGATGCACAATTTTGTAGCAAACACTATGAGAAAGGCAACAGCTTTCTGTTCAGGTCTGTGAATTTGCATTTCACTCATTCTCAGGTTGGATGTCCAGCCAGATCTCAGAGGAACACTGGTCGAATGCTGTGTGGAAATGTGAGGTTGCTCAATATGGATATTACTTCAGTGAGTTGTGTAACTTGGAGTAAGAGTGTCACCGTTGCCATCAGGCCACCCCACACAATTTCCAGGGGACCAAGTCAGGCCACAACACATCTTGACAGAAACCATCATGCTTAGTAATGTCTTCATTACTAAGAGACTCAGTCAGAAGTAAACACCAACTGGACCAGAACTATTCTGATGCCTGAGCACAGCAGGTCAAACCACACCAAGGCAAGACTTAAGAGTTTCCTCCAGAGCAGAGTAGGGCAGCTATTCAACCAAGAGGAACTAGTTTAGTTCAAGGAAGCCATGGCCCAGCCAGGCAAGAAGGCATCAGGGCAATGGGCCCTGCCACAGGCATGGGATCAGCCCACTGCATGAAGGCATCCCAGTATGAGGAGGAGAGACTAGCCAGCTAGACAGCAGGCCAGTGATGAGGGAGGACCCCTAATTCCTGTTGCTGGGGAACATGCTGAGATGTTTGGTAGCTGCAGCCATGATGGGGCTGTTTCCCTCAAGCCTGCAGGTCCTTCTGTGGCTGAAATCACGACAACACTCGGAGTGGAACCACGTGATGAATGCATCTTTGACAGGCAGCTTACTTTCCATACAGATTTTTAAAATTACATTCCTGATCTGCTCAATAATTAATGTTCTCTGAGTGTTACTGACAAGAGGCAGATACTCACTTTTTTCCTGTCGTCTTTCCTGTCAAAGGCACAGTGCTGCTTACACTGCTCACAGGAATGTGGCGGCCCGTATTTCTTCTCAGAATTTGTACAACGCTGGCATTTGTTACCAATAAAGGCTGCAATTATGTTGCAGTACTGGCAAGGTTTTGGCTAAATAATGAAGAGATTAGCAAAGAGATTAGTGAAACTAATCCAAGAGATGAGCAAACATCTTAGCTTTATATGTAGCACTCCCTAACAGTTGTTTTTCAAGAGTAATTTGAGAATGTTAAGATGCATTTAACTAATACAAAGCTAATTGTAATTGCTTCCTTGATCATTCATGCAAATTCATCCTCTTATATGTTAAAACACAGCCTGACTATAGTCCTACGTGGCTTCTTGTTTTTTAAAATATCAATCTCCATTTTCCAATAAAGCAGGTATAGGCAGAAGAAGATCAGAATGTCCCAATAAATCTATGGATGATTTGCAACAGACTGGAATTTTATTTATCGTTATTAATATTTATATACCATCCCATTTCCATAAGCTCTGAGCAGTCTACCAGAAATTAAAACCAATAACGAGTCATACTGACTAAGACAACATATTAAATAAAACTGACATAAGAACTACTCTGGGAAGCCCTGTTGAAACAAATATGTCTTTAACTCCCTCTTAAAGGTGGGAATTTGGGAAATCATATGATTTCTCCTGGCAGACCATTCCACAGCTTAGGGGCACCTACTGAAAACATCCTCTGGGTAGTTAACATGAATCTTACAGAAGCAAACTTCACTGAATTTCTGACCGGCAACAAGAAACGTCCCTTAAGTTATCTGGCTGAAGTGAAGAATGCCTGGGGTAACAAGGTGTGGATCTGTACATCGAAGGACTCCACTCAGTTCTAGTTATCAGCACAAATTCTGCATTCCAGAGACTTTTGATTCCAGTTAATGAAAACCTGAACCCACCTGTACAGTAAGGTATTTTAAATTTGCAGAGCAAGAGTTCGCATTTAGAACCTCTGGGCAATTAAGGCATAAGCAGCCTGTGATAAAGGATCTTGGTTAAGAATGAGGAAACACCTTGGCTGGATCAGATCAAGGACAGGCTGCCTTAGTATTTGCTTCTAGATGTGCAGTGCACAGCCAGCTTCCCACAGCGCACCAGAAACTGGCCTGAGTTCCATTGCTGGACCATGGTCTATTTTCAGTTCAGCCCAGATTGAAATGAGCATGGGAGCAATCCAATCAATTGTTCTGTCAATTAGAAGTCCCCAAACTTGGAGGCTTCTGACCATCCACCGCAGGGCAGGAGGAACAGCAGAGGTGCGTTTCACCTCTGGCTCCTCCCACCTTGCATTGCGCCCTGGTGCCACCTTAGCGGAAGAGGAATGAAGCTAAAAAGGGCTTAGGGAACGCGTACCTTGGCTTCTCCAGCTTCCTCCCCTCCCTTCCCGCCAAAGCATCTCTGATTGCCCCTTGACAGGGTCAGAGAGCTGTCTCGGACCTCAGAAGAGGAATCCCCTGAATCCAATGGCCCCTCAGTCTAGGGGCCACAGGACTGTTCCTTCTAAGAATTTCCAAGGCAGGGGGAGAACAACTTGGATACATACCGTTCCATAAAGTTTCACATTCTGGGCACACTTCTTGCATATTGTATTGGTTTTGCTGGCAGAAGAAGAGAAAGGATTAAATTACGACAAGGAATTAAAATGGCTTTATGGTTTAGGCAACCATCTGAACAGCAAGGAGAATTTTAATTAACTTTGTGATTATTATGAGCCATATATAATTTAAGCCTTACCTGATGTTATATGGTCATTAAGTGACCATTATGTTCTTGCGCTAATTTTAATTTAAAGCCCCAATTTTAAATAGATAAATGAAGGAAAATCGTAAGATAGGCATGCTATGAGTGGAGATGGTTGGAGCTGAGAGTCAGACTAGATGGCCTGGGAGGCCCCTTCTGACTTGCTATGTTTCTATGCCTCCGTTTCTAAGGTACCCACATAAACAAGAAAAAAATACTGTCAGATGAATACAGACTGAAGGCACAATATGTTGAATTATCTCCCATGAGTGTGCAATTTAACAAGACCTTGGCAGAAGGTACTTCTGCTAAAAAATGCATTCTACAGAGCAATCTTACACCGTTCCAATTCAAAAACAAGCTGCATTAGTTTCTGTAGCATTTAGGCTACAATCCTATACCCACTTAGTTGGGTGTAGGCCCTCAGCTTACTTCTGAGGAGGCATTATAGGATTGTGCTATTAAGTAAATGTGCATAGGGTTGCACTTTTAGTCCTGGGCATTACAAATTGCTTTTACTGATATTATCTGCTTCTAGTCTGAAGCAACAGCTTACTAATTATTCTAATCTGTTTTTGCAGAGGCTGCTTTAGTGAATACTGATGTGATATATTTTAACTCCCTTCTCAGTGAGCACTGGGATCCACATCACAATTGTGGCTGCAGCAGGAACACATGTGGTTAATTCCAGCGCAAGTGTCAGATCTCTGGCACTGAACATAATTAAGCACAAGTAATACGATCAGTCTTTTCATGGCCTGGTTTGCATGTCATGATAATCCAAGATTTAAAAAACAAACAAACTGGGTCACTGTGATTGCACCACTGTGCTGGTCAATGCTGATACATAATATTATCACTCCATCACAAAAGGGAAGTGCTAAACAAACCAGGAGTACCCCACTGACACCTGGAATTCTGGCATCTCTCCCTGCAACAAGCCAGAGCATAGCATGAACAATCGGGCAAGATGCAAAGGCATAAAGTCACATTCACAGAACTTAAAGAAGTTCTGGATTATTGTGACATAAACCAGGCTCATGTCTTACTACTGAAATATTTAACTGATCCACAAGGTATAATTTTGATTTCATTTTTTACCACAGCCACATCACACTTTTAGTTTGTGAATAGACTCCAAGCTTCCAATTCCAAGGAGTCTTCCTTCGAAGCCAGCACTGTCAGTTTCAACAAAACGTCTAAACCGATGTGAGGATTAGTAAGCAGGCTACTTTTGAGTACGACTGGGTTCCCACACCATGACAACCCACTGCCTGCTGGGCAAATCATGGGTTGTTGCCCTACCACTAGCCTACTATGGCTTATTGCCAAGATGGGTTGGTGAGGCCTGTGAATGCACCCCATGTGCGTCAGTATCTAGACAGACACAGAAGTCTGGACTGAATCACCCTGCCACAGCAATGCAGAACTCTTATGGTTAAAACAAAAGCTTAAGCGTTTTGTACTGTCAACAGGTACTGAATATACACAGAAAGAACAGAAGAGCAAAACAAAAGGTCATTGTTTATGTTTTTCAAAGTCATTGCTTTGGGACACATGTTAAAAGAACACAGTTCTTCTTTTGCCTAACTGCTGCAGTCTGAGTACGCACCTTTCTTGCTGGAATTCAGTTCTACAGTAAGTACATTTAACCATGGGATGCGCAATCCGACATTCCTGAAAAGGAAAGGAATTTTTTTTAAGGTTATATATATGCATGGCCTTGGGTAGAAAAGCAAGAAGACACAGAACACATATTAAGCTAGCACTAAAATACGAGTATCACCAAATGGACTGAAGAGAGACCCCTTTGCAACAAAGATGATGTAAGCTGCAAGAATACCAACTCAGGAGAACCAAATCATTCACTTAAGACATACTGCTGAATTCCACATGAAGCGCATTCCAGCAGAGGATCAGCTAGCTGTCATTAGATACCACACTGAGGAACTGGCAGTGCAACTAGAATCAGCAACTCTTTCCAGTGCAGCATAATGCATAGGATGGAATCCCATGTTTTAAGTCTTTCAGGAAGTTTCTGAAATAGCTATTCTACTCTTTGAGCCCTTTTCTTCACCATTAAATAGCTTGCCCCTGCCCCACATCTACCCACACTTGTAAGTATTGGAGGCTGAACACCTCCAATTTAATTTGGCTCATGGAAAGCAGCTTTATTGCTGGTATGATTATTGATTTTCAGTCCTGCGTCATATGTTTTGTACCACTTTTATTGTTTTGATTTTATTAAAGGCATGTTATATAAATTACTCTGGGAGCAGTTTGGCAAAAGGACATATAGAAATATGCTAACTAATTGACAACTAGTACCATACTTCTCTCTTAAGAAGCTCCAATTAGAAATTATCATGCCAAGTACACACACCCCAATAACTGGAGAAATAAATCCACCCTATTTGGGTGAACAAAGGGTGCAGAACAAAGGGGAGAATCACTACTAAGCTGTGCTAACTGATCTTGAAGTCATACCCATAAACTGAGGAAGCCTCTTCCTACCCACTTTCCAAATGTTCCCCTTAAGAGGTATCTCCCACAATCTATGCTCCGATGCTACCCTGTATACAGAACCAAGTCCCATTTAGTTTGCTCCTAGGAAATTTGGACTCCACTCCGCTGTGTTCTCTTTCCTTTCATCTGCCTCCCCAAATGCTTTCTGTCCTATTAATAAGGCTCCAGGGCCCAGAAAACCAGTGTAGTGCAGTGGTTAGAGGAGAAGCAGGCAATCTGGCACACCCTAAATTCCTTGGATAACCAGCAGCCCCGGGCAGCACATGGCCAATAAACGATTATGGGCAGTGCATTCCTAAACAGCCAAAAAGCACTGCGCTGCCTACCCTTGGCTCACAGCATTGGACTGTCACCATAAACCTCCCTGGATGGGGCTGCACCAACCCCACACTCTACCCCAACCACCCAGAGCTGTTCCGAGGACAAAATGGGACAACTTATCCCGGCCTTCACCCCTTCTCCTCCTCCAAAAGAAAGCGTTGTAGTATTGCCTGAGCTATGCTTAACAACAACCCTGTAAGGTAGGCCAGTGCTGTTTTTATTCCAAAGAGACGTCGGGACGGAACACTGCTCCGCAGCTCCCGCTCTTAACCGCCACGTCCCTTTCTCAATCACTCCCACTCCCCCGCTCCTGACCTTGCAGAGCTGCTGTCCCTGGCTGAGCGCCTCGAAGGGGAAGCGCTGATGGCACTTGGTACAAGCATAAAGCGCCGCCATCCCGCCGCCCTCACTGACAGGCGCAGCCCTAACCCAACCCGACGTAGCGCCCCCGCCTTTCTCCCGCCTACTCACAGCGCCATTGGCTCAGGGAGACGCCACTCAGCGCGGTAGAGGCGGGGCCTTCGCTCGTACCTTGAGGCCCATTGATTCTCCGGAGACGTCACTCAGAAGTTTGAGGCGGGCGCTCTGGGTGTTGCGGGAAGAAGCAGGCGAGGGAAAGGGAGGAGCGACGCTACGTCACCGGGAGTGCCTCCGTCCGGGGTTGCGCAAGAGAGCGGCGTCACGGTACCAGCTCGGGCGACCCGTGACCATAGAGAAAAGGATAGAGAAAGGCGCGACACATCACCTTGTACATATGGATATGTGGAACAGCGAACCCGCCTCATTTTCTCTGTGCTAACACCGGAGAAGCCGCCTTTTGTTATTCGTGTGAACAGGCGCCGCGTCCTTTGTTAGACCACGACGCTGACTGACTCTAACACTGCCGTCGCTCTTGCCTCTCGTCGTTCATGTCCTGCTCTCGCGAGATCTGCGAGGCGGTGCGGGGAGTTAGGGTTGCGCATGGAGCGTCGGCGGCTACAGACTCGCGCGGTTTGCCCGGTCGGCGCGTCGTTGCGCGAGCCCCGCTGGCCACGGAGCCTCGAACGGGGGTGTTCGGGGAGGGAGCAGAGGCCCTGGGGGAAGACGGGGCCGCTTCACGGCATTGGCTTCGCTGCCTGCAACCAGCGAGCCTGCTTTTGCGGGAAACTCTCCTTGCGGGGGAGCGGCTGGAAATGCACGCCAGCCATTCGCAGCAAGTCAATGATGCGCAGCGTGGAGAACGTGCTCTTTGCCTCTCGTTATCCGGGAGCCGCATCGGGTCGCCCCATGAAGCTCAGACCTTCTCAGTGGTATCCCCGCACCCGTGGAATTATCTCCACACTGAGGCTGACCTGGCACCAGGTTATTCTTGTTATTCTTTTGGCATCAGGTGCCAAGGCTGTGCCAAGGCTTGAACTCAACCCATGTTTTTTGCCAATCTACCCTGTACTGTCTATTATTTTAGCTGCTTTAAAGTTTCTGTGTTTTGGTAAACTTGTGCTTTATGAAGCACTGCAAACCGTCCGGAGAACTTTGGCTGCTGGGCAGTATAGAAATGAATTGTCATTATTGCTTCCTGGGAAGATCATGGTACATTCTTGATACTGTTATGAACATTTGTAAACTACAAGGATCTTGCTAAAGACTTGCAGAGAGTGACAGTTCCCAGGATGTATGTCAGTAGTGATCGGAATTTATGGATGAGCTATTCAATCCAGACCACGTTGCATCCATTTATTTTTCCTTCTCTGCAAAAGAAATCAGCTATGCTTTAAAGGCGGTGTCTTCCTGTCACATTTGCCCCATTCCATTCAGTATTTATCCCCAGTCGTGGATGCGTAACCTTTACCACTTGGTTCATGGATCGTTGTATATGAACTGTTGGGAACAAGCTGTTGTTTTCTACGATTTCTAGCCCAAGAATATCTCATTCTCTTACAGCCATTTTTGAAAGATTGCATGCATAATTTGCGATATAGGAGCATGCTGCTATGCTGTGTTTGTGGCACCTCTGGCAATGCATTGCTACACCCTCCAGTGTGTCCATTCAAGCCCTGAAAAGCACCATGAGCAGCGGCTTTGTGTGATAGGTTCCAGAGGACTTCTCTGGTTGGAATATGGATGCATGAATAGCAGGGCCGGCTCTCCCATGAGGTGGGGTGAATCCTCTCCCTTGGGTGGTTGCGTAGGAAGACTGGCAAATTGTGAATTCCTTCTGCCTCCACTAGCGTGACCCAACACTACTGCCTACCAGAGCCCAACTGGCCCTGCCACCATGGCATTTGCTGCTGCAAGAAGGCGGGGCTATCAGAACTTTCCAGAACTACTTGGCAACACTGGTGGCTGCTCCAGAGAGCTCCACCATGTCCCTCCTGCAGGTTATTTCCAGGCTTCTTCACCAGGATAACCTTATCGTTCCTGGAAGAGCCGATGTGGAACATCTTGCAAAATTGTTATTTTCCAGCAACTCAGAGTTGTAGTTTTTATAGTAATACCATCCAACTATACAACATTTTGAAAAAAGGTGAAACATTTGGGAGATCTCTGCTGATGAAGTAGCAACTGATCCTTAATATCCACATGTCCACTTTCACCTTAGGACAGCCAGGGGACACCCTCAGGAGCCTGTGGCCAGGAATTCCCTTGACTCACCTTCCAGGAAGACCAAGAGGAGACTTCCATTTGTGGTCACAGGCTACTTCTCCAAATTGGCCAAGACCTACCATTTCCTGAACAGGGCCAAGAAGAGCTGCGTATTTTTCACCATGCCAGAGTGACTTTCCAGAGTGATCCAGCTTTTACTTCTAAAATCAGTTCTACCTTTTAGTGGTCTCATGAGATTGACTTGGCTAACTTTTGCCTTTTCCAGGTGAGGGAGTGGTTGAAATGACGTGTTGGATGTACAATGAGTGACACAAACACCAGTGATTTACATCTGACACACACAGCTCATAGGTCATCCACTCTACAAGTACCTGAAGCAGCATCAAGTTTCCTAAAATACTTTTAGCCAGTGGGTCACAGACTGCATTCCCTTGTTCCAACAGGCTTGTTCTTTTGGTCAGGTCTCCTGTCCTCCACCATCCCTTGGAGTCCACCCAAGCTCACACCCACTGCCCCAGTGACTCCATCCAGCCACCTCATCCTCCGCCGTCCCCTTCACCTTTTGCCGTCAATCGTTCCCAGCATTAGGCTCTTCTCCAGGGAGTCCCTCCTTCTCATTAGGTGGCCAAAGTATTTGAGTTTCATCTTCAGTAACTGGCCTTCTAAGGAGCAGTCAGGGCTGATCTCCTCTAAGACTGACTGGTTGATCTCCTTGCCATCCAAGGGACTCTAATTGCTCATTTCAGGGACTTCTTTGTGATGTGTTGATGAATTACTGACTTGAATATTTCTAAAAGCTGCCCTATTTCACATTATCCATTTCTAAACAAGGCACTTCAGCATAAATGCCATCCAACAGAGGTCTAATGCTATAAGGCCAGTTGTAGGGAGAGCTGCAACGAGGTAATTAATTTTAGTCCATGGGTTAATAGTCTTATGACGGTCCCCTTTAGATGGGTATGTTATAGGACACACATGGACATTTCTCTTCTTCACCCATGCCCTGCTCTAGAATTCTTTACCGTGGCTTCTGCATTCCTGCGATTTTAGAGCAAGAAGCCAAAAACACTTCTTGGCTAATGCTAATGCACCAATGCAATCTCACAGCTCAAACTCGCTTTAGGTACGGGACCATCACAACTGCAGGAATAAAATGGAGCTTGCCTCTGCTGCTATGATGCCAAACACATTTACTTGGGCAGAAACATCACTTTATTGCAGAAAAGGATAACAGAAAAATGATAAAAGAAAAAATGAACATCCATAACCATGCAGATGCCTAGCAAGCCAGATTCTGGCAATTCAATATTTTTTTAAGTGACAGAAAGAAGAATGCAGAGCAAGTGGCCAGATGCTGATGCTGCTATTTCTATCCACTCTCTTGATGTCGCTGGGTGGCAGGGGGTGGCAGGGGGTGGCAGAGACCTGGACTTCAGTCCTGGCTGTGCCACTGATTATGTGTCAACTGGTATGTTCCTTCTTGCCAGCCATCACCATCAGGCCAGGACTGGATAGGTGGCCATGGTGGTCGCTCCACAACTGTTCTCCTTCATGGACATGAGAATGTACCCGTCATCGCCCCAGTAGGTTGACCAGGGGCTCTTGATGAGCCAGTAGCTCTCTCCTTGGAGGATTCCGTATCCCACAACCAGAACTGCATGGTCTAAATCCATGCTGCTGTTTCCTGGAAGAAAGGATGAGGCAGGTGACATAAGAAGATAGGAAGCGCTCTGCTGGATCAAGCCAAGGGTCCCTCTTGTCCAGCATTCTGTTCACACAGTGGCCAAGCAGCTGCCAATGAGCAATCGACCCGTATTTATTATTGCCACATTCATCTTATTGTTCTTACATTGCACGTACACCCTGCCTTTCTCTTCTTAAATACTAGAGAAGTGCTGGATAAATGCTTGAATTTGACCTCTTGAGAATCCTTAAATTCCGTTCTTTTTTTAAAGCAGAGTTTTGAAGCCTGCGGTTTACATGGGAAGAGGCAGCACAGCACACTCAAACGGGGTTGCCCATAACTCTTGGGACCTGCTTGGGACCTGGGTACCTGAAGGAGCGCGTGCGTCCATATCTGCCCTCCCGCCCCTTGAGATCAGCAGCAGAGGCCCTCCTCCGGGAGCCCTCCGTGAAAGATATTAGGAGGGTGAGCACCCGGAGGAGGGCCTTCTCTGCAGTGGCGCCCCACTTATGGAATGCGCTCCCCAGAGAGGTCCGCCTGGCACCGTCGTTATTTGTTTTTCGGCACCAGGCCAAGACCTTTTTATTTAAATGTTATTTTAATTAATTGCTGATTTATTTATTGGTTTTAAATGATTATGCCAGGATGTTTCCGTTTTTATGTATTTGTATTGCTATTTATTTGTTGGAAGCCGCCCCGAGGCGTATGCAAATGGGGCGGCATACAAGAATTCCAAATAATAAATACATAAATAAATAACTCTCTGAACTGACTGTCTCCTCCTCTTCCTGCCCCACAAATCCTGTTTTTGAGGTTGTGCCTGACACGCTGGAGGCACACACAATTTCCGCCAGCTGCGAGGGTGCGGGGAGGGTTCTCCACATGGAGTGTCAGCTTTGACCCCAGAGTGAGCTTCTGAGGTTGACGTGGGACTCCAAACTGTCCTACAGCTGGTTAGACTATGCCTAGTGGTGTCCATACGGTCCTGAACCCGAGGCTTGCAGGCACCCTAGAGAGAGTGGGAGGAGCACGAAGGTTATATGAGGCACCCCCCGAAAATGCTGCATCCTTTTTGTTGAAGCACCACCGGAACCTGCAGCGTCCCTTGCCCCCATTTATCTTTTGTGCATTTAAATAAAAAAA